CATTGATAATAGTTTGTTAGCTTGATTATAACCTATAGCTATTAAGACTTTTGGGATGTGGGTCATTATATATACTCAAATCAGGACCCTGAGAAACACTTAGGGGACTTGATCAATTTTTCCCATGTGGATAATTAAGACAACCCTTAGTATTTCATAAGATTTTCCCTGTTAAAAAAAAAAAATATATATATATATATATAGTCCTTTAGATTGATCTTTTCAAAACACAAATCTGATTTTCTGTCCATCTTTGCATCCTCAGCTCGAAACCTTCAATGACTTCCCACTCTGCTCAGGAAGATAGACAAAGTTTAATACGGCCAACAAGGCTGTGGGGTCTGGCCACGCCATCTTCACCAGCCATTTCCCACAACACACTTTCTTCCACCCTCTGCATTCCAGCCACACTCTCCTTTCAGACCCTCCCTTCTTGTGGCCTTGGCACATGCTTTGCACATTCCTAGAATGGTCTTCCTTCATCCCGCTCACCTTTGCTCTTAGCTTGGCCTGGCCTCCCTGACAAGGTCAAGTCCTTCTATTCTAGGTTCTCATGGTACCATGAACTTTTTTTTGTAGTGCTTGTTCCTGTACTTTTGCCCATTAATGTCATTCTCCATTTAACATGTCTCTCCCCTACCAGCCTGTAAGTTCCACAAGGGTAGACAGAGACCATGTTTGTTTTTACTCACACTGTCTCTCCTTGTGCCACATATGGTGTCTTATATTTGGCATATGTTTAATAAGCTTTTAAAAAATTGTGGTAAAAATATGCATAACAAAATTTACCATCTTAATCATTTTTAAGTGTTAACTCAGTAGTGTTAAGTGTATGCACATTGTTGTGCAATCTCTCTCCAAAACACTCTACATCCTGCAGAATTGAAACTATACCCATTAAACAACTCTCCATTCTTCCCTCCCTCTGGTCCCTGGCATTCACCATTTCATTCTCTGTCTCTAGGAATTTCACTACTCTAGGTACCCATATAAGTGGAATCATACAGTATTTGTCTTTTTGTGACTAGCTTGATTCACTTAGCATAATGTCTTCAAGGTTTATCCATATTATAGCATCTGTCAGAATATCCCTCCTTTATAAAGCTTGAATAATATTCCAGTATTTTTTTGCATACATGACAGTGATAAAGAATTCATCAGGTCTCAACTATTACACTATCAACAACATAGGAAAATAAAGTGGGTCATATTCTCTCAATTACCCAGTGTGCTATGTGGGTAGCAATGACTTCAACCACAACAGGAACAACCACACGAAGTGGCCAAGCAGGGGCCTTATGTTGCTTCTCTGTGACTCTTTCTGGGTTATTCCCCCAGTCCCAGTAATGGCAAAGAATAGAGTAGTCATTATGTATCAGTCACTCTACAAATTATTGCCTTTAAACCTCACAGCTACCCTACAAGGTATGTACCATTATCATCATCTTTATTTTACAGACGAGAAATCTGGGACTCAGATTAGTTGAGTAACCTATGCAAGGTCACGCAGCTAGCAAGAGAAAGAACAGGGATATCCTCAGACCATCGGACTCTAATGACAGGCTGTATTGTCAGAGAAGAAAGTCGGGGTCATGACCAAAGGGACTTAGTTATACTGGTCTAATCAGGACAAATCTGAAGTTCACAGCCATACACAGAACCCTAGTCCATGGCAGACCCACCATCTTGTAGGTGCACACTGCTAAGGTATGAGTTAGAACCTTCAGACCGGTGAGTGTCCTCACAAGCAGTCTCACTGTCAACCCCCATCCCTTCCATCTCCGGAGACTGGAAAAGTAGGTGTTGCCTTTCCATGTCAGAGATGACAGACCTGGCTATGAGTCAGCAAACAAGGTAAGGTCAGTGCAAATGCAGAGCTGGGGCTACAAGGCAGGCTACCAATGCCTCAGCCTACAAGGTTCACCACAAATATCACCTCCCTTGAAGGGATTTCTTCTCGTCCAACCCCCAGCTAGGCCTGCCCCCTGTGAGCACTCAAAGTGCCTGTGGATACCCTAACAGAACACATGCCCTAATTGTTTATTTACAGATAAGTTTCTCACCACACCCTTAGTCCAGCAAAGTAAGGCGTGGAATTCGCTCATTTGGGTACCACAAACAATATGCTTGCTACATAGACAGCTTTCAAAGGATGGCTACACGAAGGCATGAATGGAATGCATGAGAAGTCACAGTTTTCCTCCACAAGTCTTATATCACGGACAACAGCAGAAAAATGAGATGTGAATTGTCTAAAGATAATTGCAATGAGAACAGGTGCCCCTAAAGCCACTATTTCAGTGATGATTCTTGGCTGCCTAAACCCTATATGATGCTATGAGGACCTTTGGGAAGACTCTATACTGTCAGGACTTGATCTAAAGTCCTGGATCTGATTAAATCTCTGTTCTTATAGAATCCTGCGGTCCCTGCATCTCCTCCCATCTATGATACTGCCACACTTTCTCCTATTCCACCCTAGCAAGGCTGACCTCTGGTCCAATGCTACCTTATCCCATGCAAACATTAACACTTCTACATTCTACACACCATGAAGCTAACATCAATGGCGAGATTATGTAACTATCTCAAGGCAAACTGTGATTTTGACTCTTAAGCCAAAAAAATCAGTCAAGACTCAGCCCAAAGTTTTGCATGAAGGTTAAGAATCTTTTTAGTTATAAAGGCCATTTACTTACAAGAGGTTAAAGCCAACCCCACCACCAGCACCAAACACAGACACATTTCTGAAAAGTCTTTCATTTTTGCTTTTGGACATGAAGCATTTCACAAAGAAAAACCTTAAAAATGATTTTAAAGATTAATAAAAAAAGAATATATAATCATATTTGATCAATACCAATATCTTAAAGTATTCTTCACTTCTATATTGTGGTTATTTGAAGAATAAAAAACCAAATGTGGAGCAAAACAGGACAGGTTAAAGGCAAAGAAGAGAGCTTGAACCACGCACACCACTGGGGCTGAGGCTGTGGGAGCAGAGACTTAGTCTGGAATTTCCTCGTGCTCACAATGAAGCCTCAACACAACCCAGTTAGTGTCTTTTTCCCAAAGGGAAACTAAAAATCAGAAAGACTAAATAGTTGTTTAATTTTTGTCCAAGGTATAAGTTTGTCCAAGGTCACCCAGCTTGGAAGTATCGGATCTCAGGTCTAAATCCAGTCTATGCTGGCATGGGTACTTCCCATGATAACATGGTGTGCTAGTTTTACATTGCTTCCCCAAATACCATATTTCCCCATGTTTAAGACGCTCCTATGTATAAGACGCACCTTAATTTTGGGGCCTGAAATTTGAAAAAAAATGTATTACATAAAGTTATTGAACTCAAGTTTTATTCATCATAAAATTCATACAACTCTTCATCACTGTGAAAACTCCCAACCATTAGCTTGTCCTCATCTGTGTCTGATGATGAATCACTGTCTTCATATATTGCCTCGTCCTCAGCGGGAAATGTAAGTT